CCCTCGATCATGGCTTCTAAGTTGATTTGAGCTTGGGTGTCAATGGCTACCATGCATAATTAATGAATCAATCAACCATGCATCATCTCAGCTTCCCATCCCTTCTCCCCTCCCTGTGCCCGGTCCTCATCATCCTTGCCCATGCTCTTCTTCATGGCCACCCATGCTAAAATGCTCTATGTCTCCTAATAAGTTGCCTGCCTTTTGGTTTGGATTCCTGAGCAATGGTTTAGTAACTAATCATGCTGCTGCTCCTAATGCATTAGCTGAACTTGAATATGGTGTGAAACTGCATTGCAGCTTGAGCAGCCTAATCATGCTGCTGCTCCTAATGCAATAGCTGAACTTGAATATGGTGTGCAACTGCATTGCAGTTTGAGCAGCCCAACATGCATGGTGTCATTGGCTCTTGATGTCCCTCATGACCATGAACCCTTGACTGCCTGATTGCCTTGATTTCCACTCATGATGCCTTGAGTGCCAAACATGATGCCCTGAATCACTCATGATGCCTTGCATCCTTTTTGCTCCAGGGCTCATAGCCTCTGATCAAAAACCTCATGCCAGGCCATCAGCACCTGGTCCAGCACCTTGGATTGTAGGCTAGTTGTGCTGCCACTGCCCTTGATTAACTGCATGCTTGCTGATGGCCATGCAACTGCCCATCTATTGCTTGCAAGGCACTGCGCCTTACCCGCTTGTGCCATACCAGCTGATGAATGGCGCCTTGCATTGCACACCCAAACAAGTAACCAATGTCCCCTTCCATTGCACTTGCATTCATCATGTGCTGTCAAGTCACATCTTCCTGGCTGCATCAGGCTTAGAACATGCCCTTGATGCATTTCTGCCTTAAGTCCAAAGTGTGCATGCACATTGATGCTGATGACTTCTACCTTGACTCAACTAATTCTCCAAGGCTCCCTTTCTTATCCTCGCTTTCCTGGATCCTCATTTGCACACTATTCACATGTATGTTGCTTGCTGATGGTCAAGAGCTGATGTTTGTTAACTATGTATCCTGCTGATTGCTTGCTGGGTCTGTTGATTGATAATTCATCAAACTCATCAAATGCTTGCTTGCTGAGGCACATCTTGTCGATCTTGGTCATCTCCCTTTGGAATGACCACATGGGCTGCAATGGAATGTCCATTTCCCACTGATCCATTTGCTGATTGTAGTGCTCAAAGAGCTTCCTTAATCAATGATGCACTTGGGTATCACATCATGCACTCACAAGCTAACAGTTCTTTGATTGCTGATTCTGGATTGAAACTTCCAAGGCACACCAGCTGCTGCATCCTGGCATCAATGGCCTGGTATGCCTTGATGAGCTTGCTCCATGGGGGGCACATGCCCATGATGGAAGCAGCATCCTGATCCTCAGCACATCTCAAACACTTGCTAGTTTCAAGCACTCATGTAATCATTTGTTTACTAATTAATCCAATGCTCTGGATGGAATTGCTCCTGTTGCCATTCCTTCCTGTTGGCATTCTTCCTGATGAACTGCTCTTTATCATGTGCCACATAGTCCTTCATCCCACATACCTTGCGAATCAGCTGCTGATACCTTAGTTGAAAACAACAAGTCCAATCATCATGCAACTTAATTAGAATTTTGCTTCATGAACTGTCATTTCATTAGTTACTCAAAGCTGCTGGGCCTGCAGCTTTGCATCCAGCAATGCTGCACGAATTGCCATATCCCATTCTGCCTCATAGTAATCCCCTTGGCTGGAATGAATAAAGCCAATCATGTGTTGCCATGCTGGTTGCAATGGTTGCCCTGCTGCATTGCCTGCTGATAATTAGCATTGCCTAATGAAACTAATGCTGGCAAGGTTCTGCTCATCCCTGGTGCAAATGTAGGCGCAATCCCTGGATCATGCCCACCAATATGGCAGAATCCCCCATCTGATCATCATACCTGAGCCCAGTAATTAACTGAGTAACAGCTGATGACATCTGACTAACTAGTTCCTTATCACCTCATGTGCTCATCATCATGCTTCATGTAATTATCTTGCATCAGCCAAGAGGCTCTCTGAGCACCTGTGCCACATGCCTTTGCAAATCATGGAAGCCTCCATAGGCGATGTCCATGCCTGAAGTTCATCAAGAATTTAAAGCATTCACACACTATACACCTGGTTCAAGCAAACTCCATGCCATGAATCATGAATCTGATTGCTGACACAGGCACGCTTCTCCATGAACCCTGCTTTCCTTGCACATGTCCAGGCTGAGTTGCTGATGTTGCATGCCTGAGCAGTGAACAATGTTCATCAATGTTCATGTGACTACCTGCATGCCATTGCAAAACAAATACATTTGCATACTTAACTAATTAATGACTCCAAGTTGCATGATCCACAAACTGATGCATCTTCCACAATGCATACAGCATGAAGCAGTACATCACCTGATTTGTGTGCACCCTCCACCCATGCTAATTTCCCTGCATTGCCATGCCCCATGTGGCCAAGGCACTCCCTGATTGATCAACTGATGGTGCTCCATGTCAATCCCCTGGCCTCAGTCATGATAGTTAACAATTGTCAGTGATGAGCAATTGTCAATTTGTCCCCCATGAATTGATTCAAGCTACTGATGATGCCAAATACCACTGCAATGATGGCAACCAGGCATGCCATCACCTTCTTCATGCTCATGGCCATGCTAATGGGCTCCAAATACAAACTGATTCCAAGCTCTGATGGTGCAAAAGGCTGCTGATGATTGAATGGCTCATGCACATGCTGGATGCACATGATGCCAAGTGAATCCATGCTCACTGCCCCCATGCCACTCATGACAGCGCATGCACCTTCATGTTTTCCAACTCAATCCTGATGCCAACTGCTAAGAACACTGGGTTGCAGCTACTCATTGCTTACTCATCTTTCTTTTCCTCATCCTTCCCTTCTCCAATTGGCTTCTTTGCCTCATCATCCTTCTTTGGATGCAGCACCTGATGAAGATCTGATCCTAGCAGGGCTTGGCCAGGGCTGAAAGGGAATGGTGCTGGCACCACCAACCCACCACCACCCACCACACACCACCCACCACACACCACCCACCACACACCACCCACCACACACCACCCATAACCCTTTTTCTGTCATACACTTGCCATGTCCATTGCACTGAGCCTAACTAATCTACAAACCTGATCTCATGAGGATGCTGAGGGAATGTACAGGATGTTGTGGTTGATGCATCTGAATTTAATCCTGAGCCTGATGGTGCTGAGTCTGATCTGAGCCTGATGATGCAAGTTCTGATGGCACATCTCCAACATGACATTCAAGCTCCTTGGTCTCATCACCCACAAAATAGTAGCTGCCTTTTGCTGCATACTCAATCACCCAGCCCCTGCAAACCCTCATGAATGTCCTTCTCTTTCCCTCTTGGAATACATGCCTCAAACCCTCATGAATGTCCTTCTCAATCCCTCCTAGAATGCATGCCAGCCCATGCAAACCCTCATGAATTTCCTTCTCAATCCCTCTTGGAATACATGTCTGCCCATGCAAACCCTCATGAATGTCCTTCTCAATCCCTCTTGGAATACATGCCTGCCCATGCAACCCCTCATGAATGTCCTTCTCAATCCCTCTTGGAATACATGCCAGCCCATGCAAACCCTCATGAATGTCCTTCTCAATCCCTCCTAGAATGCATGCCAGCCCATGCAAACCCTCATGAATTTCCTTCTCAATCCCTCTTGGAATACATGCCTGCCCATGCAAACCCTCATGAATGTCCTTCGCAATCCCTCCTGAAATGCATGCCAGCCCCTCATGAATGTCCTTCTCAATCCCTCCTGGAATACATGCCTGCCCACGCAAACCCTCATGAAATGCATGCAAAAGTTCTTGGCTCAATACTACTTTAGAATTGGCCCAATTCTAAACTAGTATTCCCCCAAAGCAAAATAAGAAAAAACAACATGCCCAATACTACTTTTGAATTGGCCCAATTCTAAAGTAGTATTCGAAAACCAAAAAACTGAGCCCAATACTAAACTCCTTTAAACAAGGCCCGACCCTGAAAATTCTCCCCTAATCTTTATTTATGGTCATTCAGGGGGGGGGGGCCCTATTTATTAATCATAGGTCAACATTACTTAGAGGCCGCCGCAAGCTATTTGCGGTCGGGAACCTCTGCCTGCTAATGCATAAGCAAACTGGGCACCGCGCCTCACAAAAACCCTTAAACTTGGGATATTGCCCGCAAGTTATGGGGTGAATTCCCTTTTTGCGGGTAGTTTGCAGGGCTGTGTTTTGAAGAATCCCCCCTATTCAACCAGGGGTTCACTGATCCCGGGTGGCCATGATCCTCCAATTTCGGGTTCATAATCAGGACAGGCCACATAGGTTTTCTCTCCCCTCTCACAACCCAGCCGCCAAGTGACTCCGGTAGAACATGGAGCGATTTTTAGTGGTGAGCCTGCCAAACAAGAAAGGATTTGCAGGAATCGAAAGAGAAGGGCCCCTCACGCCACAGCTTGTCGAAAAATATGAGGGCGTCCGAAATTGCGAGCCATGCCCATATGTCTAGTTCTTGCCCTGGCCGTTTTTTTTTTGGAGGGGGGGATTCCCTGTTTCCTGCTTTGACACATACCCATTTACATCCAGGCCTACATGTGTGGGTCATCAACCCCATTCTTTTGGGGAAGGTACCATACTGTGGATGGAAGAAATCCTGCCCCACCTAAGAAACTCTAAAAAATCGATTCCGGGTAAATACCTTCAAACTGTGGTTTCGGCCATGGTTTCAAAGTGGTGCAGGATTCGTCCCTCCACAGTAATGTTGACCCAGGATTAATACACCCGTCGTGTTTCCTCCAAAAGTGATGAATCCCCACTAAAAGGGGACACCCCCCTATGAATCAACCAGGGGTTCTGCTTAATCCGGGGTTAACATTATCTTTCTGGGATGAGGGAGGTTCCCCCTTTGAGGCAAGTCCATCTTCAGCGGTTCGCCGAGTCTCCTCCATGGAAGCGCCGCTCCGGGCGGTCATCAGGACCTCGCGCAGGGGCGAAAAAGAGACAGCCTGAAAGAGTGCACTGGAACTCAGTTACCTGGAAATGAAAGGTGAAGGGACAAAGAGGGAGCCATGGAAGCCGCCACTGGAAGGGCCAAGAAAGTGCGTGAGCTGACTGGATTTGACGGAGAAAGAGGGGGCGGAAACTGGAAGTCAGGGAATCTGTGCTTGGGTAGGTTGGATTTGAAGGGCAATCCCAAACAACGAAACAAGCGGCTGGCGCAGTGTTGCAATGTCAAAATGTTGCCTACGGGCGGACCCCAACTCGGCGAAGTGGCACCCACACACCGAACGCATTGCAAGGACAATAACCACGACGGAAATCTGGGAGCAGAAAACAAATCATTGATGGAGCAACACCGACCATGGGAAGAACAAAAGAGGGCGCATGTTTGTTTCGCCAACTCCCCTGCACTGCAATCACCCCAGCTTCTGAATGCGGATGGTTGGCCTCTAAACTCTAAATAGAACCCCCCCCCGGAGAAAATCTTTGGGAGAAAGGGGGCCCCAACTGACCCCTGGGCTCAGAATCTTCCATTTGCCCAGGAGTCCCCCGGAAAAAATGGTGAAAATCCAATGTCCGGTAGTGATTTTGGTTCCCTTGAAAACCAACTGGGTTGGGACATATGAGAAGCAAATTGCAGCTTCTAAATGGTCCCTGCAAGGTCGTCCCTCACGAACAAACTCTCCATTTGCATAAGTCCCCTCGAAAAGATGGGACAAAACTTTACCCATGGTGATAGTTTCACTTTAAAGCCAAGGAAACTTAACACATACTGTGGATGGTTGCAAAAGTCATTTCGCACCACCTTTGAACCCCTGGTTTATTTACCGCTTCCCCAATGCAAATACCAACAAACCTTATGGCTTCAGTCCCATAGTTTGGTCATTAACCGTGGTGCGAGACTCGGATTTCGGACTTTGCGAAACCATCCACTGTATGGCCGTGGCTCAAGCAAGTTTACCAAAATCTTGGTAAATAAACATGAAAAAATGGTTCAAACCCGCGTCACCCTTTAATTTTGAGCCACACCCGTACGGGTATGAATTTTGATAAGGGACCCAATCAATCACTTAGGTGGCTCCCACCCTTAAAAGTCCTGGCCGTACTACGTCTGAAATGCAAAGGGAAAAACACCGGTCCACGCAAAACACAAGAGAATCCGAATGGTCCCTGGGCAAAAGAAACAAAAGAATGGCTCAAACCTGCGTCACCCTCCTTCACCCTTCAATTTACTTCTCAGCCACAACCGTTCTGCACACAAAGGAAGCCAACCTCCGGTCCGTCTCTAACTCCAGTCCCCTCGGCCCCGGATTTCTTCCCTCGGCCTCCGCAGCCTTGGCCAGGAACTCCCGGGCCACCCCGGCGCCCCGGCCCCTGACCAATTTGCGGATTGGATCGGATCGCTCGGGGAACCCTTCCGGAGCTTTTCCCCTGAAGAAAGAAACGCGTGGAATGGGCGGAAGGGTCGGCCCAAAACGTTTTTTTGTTTTGTTTTGTTAATATTTCTTCGGGCCAAACACGGTTTTTGAGATTTTGGGTCAGAAGGGGTGACGGTCCCCGACCAGCAAAAGGGCGCCCTCTTTGCCCCAAACGATGCATTGGAGCTCAGGGGTTCGTGCCCAAACCTCGGCCTCTTGGTTCCACATAGGCCAAGAAGAAACCAAATGCTCGACAAATAGCTCGAAGACACTCCTAGCCAAAAGCAGGAAACAGACCAGGTCTGGCCTGTGTGAAACGTTCGGTGTCACAAAGGCACAAAATCATGTTTTTTCCTTTTGGCTTCCCAGGGCACCCTGAGAAACCGCGCACACAGACCCATTGCAGCCGGCTGACAAAAGCGCTGGTTGCTGCCCCGCTCAATCAGACCAGCAGCGATCAGCTCGCACGGGCTACTCTGCGCAGCGGACACTTGCGCTTTCTCTCGCTGCATGGCTGGGCGATAGTGTCTCGATTCTCCCAGTACCGGCATGTGGCCTCTTCTGCGTCGTAGCGGCATGTGGCCTCATCTGCGTCGTCGAGGGTCGAGTCCTCTGTCACCACCTCGTGATTCTGTGATTCTCAACATGGCATCCTGGCGCATCCTTTCGGATCGCAAGTGCGCTTGGCGGTCGGAAGGTGGATACTGTCGATGGACGCGAAATCCGCGAGGAAACCGTTGAATGAATGAAGCCAGAACCTTTGTTACGGTATCGTAGGCGAATCGAATCAGAAACCATTGGGTGAAAAGGTCCAGAATGTCCAGATTCTTGATTGCTCATCTCTGTTTGGGCCCCTTCTTGCTGTTTGAAACCGCTTTTACCGGCTCTGAGGAGGGCCCCGGCTGGATTACACCATGCAACCACCTCCCTGCTTCCCTTTCAATCGGGTGTCTTCTTGCGAGGGGATCGGTTCCCTTCAAAAAACCGCAACCCCGCCCCCCCCCCCAAAAAAAAAAAAAACACCTTCAAAACAACCCCACCACCCCCTAACAAACCCCGAAAGCCGAACGGCGAAAGCCGAACGGCGAAAACGCACGCGCTTGCGGCGAAAACGCGCTTGATCGCGCGCCTCTCCCGCACGAAATGGGCCACCAACAAACGGCCCTTGGCTGCCAGCAACCCGGTGACCGCCGCCACACGCAGCTTCCGCGCCGGGGATCGAGGCACCGCGCAATGCCTCGCTCGTTTTGTCTGCGCGAGAATGCGAGGCACGGGCCCTAATAAGGGGGTGGCTCGTCTTTTCTGGAGGGTGCCCCGTTTTTTTGGTGGGTATTAAGGAGAGACCAAAAGGACAACTGAAGCGAGTTTGGGGGGGGGGCCTAAAAAAGGAGACACCCGAATGCCAATCTCATGCTCGATGGGCTACAGTTTGCACACATGTGGGTGGCTCGTCTTTTCTAGGAGAACCCCGGAAACAATGGTGTCTCCTAGTTGTCATTTAAACCAACCCCAGAAAGGGGACCCTCAAAGAACAGGCCCAGTCGGAGATCTCGCAAATAAGCCAAGCTTTGGGCTTCCATGTGCTAGCTGATACTCGCGATACGGACGTCTCCCAGCCCGTGTTGAGGGCACATGTCCGGAGGTTTCAACCTAGGGGGCCCAAAACCAAAGTGGGGCAAAATGGTTTTCGCAACCATCCACAGCCCCGACTCCAAATACCCACGCTTACTTTTTTCTTTGGGGGGGGGGGGGTATCATGTCGACCCTCTGCTAAAAAAGGAGGTATTTACCTTGAAAAACCAGGTTTCCAAAAAAATACAGTAGAAAAAGTGGTTATTTGGAGTAGGGGGCACTATGTCATTTTAGCACGCGAGTGGGGAGGTCACCCGCGCTGGAAAGAATGTGCAGCCGGGCGAAGCGCTGGCTCCGCCCAACCCAACCAATCTGGTGGGTAAAGCGGCTGAGTGAGAAAAAAACACTGATTTAGCCAGGGTCACTCGGAGAACCAGAAAAGCCCGAGAAAATTACAATTTTCTCCTTAAGTGGATGGCATCCACAAAAAGTTCGGGGACTGTTTGATGACAGTCCAAGAACTCTGCGAGTTTCTTCCAAACGAATCACTTTCTGCACGAACGAGGTCTCAGAACCATATATATGTTACCTATTGGAAAAAGCACAAAACCCATCTAAACCAGTGGCTTGTCCATGTGGCGGTGTTTCAAAATAGAAGACCCCTTGTTGGGTGGTATTCAAGGAAACCAAAAGGAAGCCTACGTGAAGAATTCCCCAATTCTGAGCAACACCCACATCTGTTTCGGACCAAACCGATCAAAAGGAGACATACTTCCATTTGCGTCTGCGCCCACTGGACAAACACTGTGAAAATATGTCCAGTAGTGAAATTGATTCCCTTTTAAAACCAGGGAAATCAAACAACTTGTCGTTTCAGCAAACGGAAAAGCCTATCTTCGAGGAAAACACGAAGCACATGGGTCGCAGTCCTCCGAATCTGGGGCGCCACGCAACGGCTTGGACCTGGCTCGAGTCCATTGGTTTGGAGCCGGAGCCGAATCGGTGGTTTGGTGGTTAAGGAGGGGCTTTCCATTTACCCTCTACCAGAACCAACCAACCGACCAACCAGCCAGCCAGCCAGCCAACCAACCAACCAGCCAGCCAGCCAACCAACCAGCCAACCAACCAACCAACCAACCAGGGGACCAGCCCTAGGAAAAGACCAGCCCAAGGAAAAAACGGATCCCTACAAGAACCAGGGCTTCAAATCCAAATCTAAACAACCAAGCCATCCAATTGCCGCTGTCCATTGCTGAAGCCCTCATCATGAAAACGAACAGAATTGCGCATGTGGATTGAGATCCTAAGCCAGATGAGTTGAAAGAGATCCCCTGCCGGAGAATGAAGGAAGCTACCCAAGTTTCACGCCATGTAAAGAATTCAAACGACAAGTTTGCGACCCCAACTAGGGCAAACATTGCTGCCCTGTTTGTTAATTGGCGGATGTGGAACATCCTGCAAACTTCACAACAAGCACATTACAAGAATTCCTGGCCCCACACCACATCCACAAAACGAAGAGGATTCCTGTGCTTACCAACATGTAACATATTGTGTCGACGGGGGCGGGTCACTTGCAAGAGACACAGTTGCACACATATGCGTTGTAGCAGCGCTTTTGTGGAACGCCTGCTCTGCACTTCATTTGCACGTATCATACACCCTATGCATGTGAATATGGTTCTCTCCAAACATCCTAAGTCGTCAGAACTGGGCAGCTCAACCGGGAGCGATGCATGCTCCAAGCCGAGGGGTTGTATACAGGCCGAAGCCATGGGTTGGATGATACTACTGTACTCAGTGATGCATCGCAAAGGACTTGGAAGGTGCAACATGGCTCCTTTTCCCTTGAAACAAAAACATGCACTTCCGAGCGAGTGTGTTCTGCTCAAAAGCACAATTTATCTAATATATATATATATATATATCTAGGTTGTTTGCTCACCACTAAAATGGCGACCAAACCCAAAAAGTGACTCGAGCGAGTTTCGGGACTCAGCGGGAAAACCCACAGTTGGCTACCTTTCGCCAACAAACCAAAGGAACGAACCGCTCACGTCTCACCAGAAGTAACCATAAAAAAGAGGAAGAACAAAAATATGCCCTGGTAAATGGATAGCATAAAACCCATCTAAACCTGTGGCTTGCCAATCTATTCCCCCGAACCTCGCCTCAAAACCCGACGCTCAAACCCGACTCGATCCGAATCGATCCGGTTCCACCTAATGCTTCGTTCCTTTTGGTTTCCCTCCGCCACGAAAAACGGGGGTACCCCCAAGCAAACCCAGGTCCCCCCCAAAAACAAATGGCCAAAGGAGCACGCACATCTCTCCCGAAACTCGCAGCAAACGCCGACGAACCCGACGCGACCCGCCGCACCCGACGCGATCCGATCCGAATCGATCGCCTCGATCACCTACCCCAAAATACCCCCCCCCCCACCCCCAAAGAAGCCGAAGGATCGCAACCCCACCTAGAGATGAGCTCGTCCAGGTCCGCATCCAGGCAGCGCTGGCGGAAGGAGGGCGGCACCAGACTGCCGTGGGCCAGGAACGCCGTGAAGCCCGGGCCCACCTGCGACGCTTCAACTCACGGGTTCGGCTCACGGTGCCACGGGTTCAACTCACCGTTGAAACCTGGAGTCTCCTTCCGGCACTTCAGCCGCTGACGGCTCGGTTCCTCACCGGGTTCCTGAGGGTTCCTCACTTAAACCTGGAGTCTCCGCCGCTGACACTTTAAAAATAGGTTCATGAACCCATTATTTAGGGTAAGGACCAACCATTTTTTAAGGGTCCTTGGAGACTCCAGGAAGGGGCGGTCGTATTTTGTACGTCAGGTAAGTGGGTGGTAGCCATGGTAGGCTTACGAAGCACTTACTAAGTACCCGATCGCCCCTTTAAGCACCGAAATCCCTGAGGTGGGTCTCGGTGGGATTTCCTGTTTGGCCTAAAGGCGGTTCTCTTCGGGCAGCATTTGGGCTCGAAACTCGCGGCTGGCCTCGCAGAATCTCGCAGAGACAATGAGAGGACAATCCCCCTACACTCCCTCACATTAACAGAAGGAAGCTCCCCCAATTGGCCTCTGTAAACAGAAACAAGTCTTCCAAAGCGGTCGCTTTGGAGAATCCATGTTAGCTTGGGGGAGCCACAGGAAGGAAACTTGCTTCGCCTTTCGGGCAGTGACAAGTGCTTAAGAGAGCAAGTTACAGTTACAAGTCAATAGTGATATGCGTTGTTGGGAGCTGTTAAGCGACACCGTCCGGAAAGCATCCATATTCGGCCTGCAGTGTTGCTCATAAGGATATCAATGGCTGGAAAACCCTCAATGGCTGGTAGACATCCCTTATGTCCAGGTCTGCGACCAGACGGGAGGGATCGTGCCCGTTTTTTCGGGCTCCGACATCACCAAATGGTTTGCCACCAGTTGACAGTTGACAACAGGCGACGTTTAGCTGCTAACTGATTTTGAGGGTTCTAAAGGGGAACCAAGAGCCCTCCACTTTGGGGGATCCCATAAACTACTTCAACTTCTGAGCCCTCACCATGGGAATTGATTGACGTAGTTGGTGGTCATGTCCCATTGGGTTGGGTCCGTCGCCCGTAAACTCCCCAAAAAGGAAGACTGACAGTAACAGGAGTATCTAAATGTTCATAACTTGGTGGACATCATTACGTTAGGATTTCTGTCCGCAGACAACTCTTGAGGTTTTCCTGCGGAGTTGACGTGTACCTGTCCTGTTTGTTCGAACATGGTGGCTTTTGTGTTGACGGCATCCTCAGGGCCCTTATAAATCCCCCGACGAAAAAAAAACATCACCCTAGGAGGAAACTGACAATTGGTCCAAACTGTGATGTTTAACCTGGAATAAACAATTGGGGGTTGGGGGATTATAATATTTATTTATTTTTTATTTATTTACGTGTATATATATATATAAACACCTGCTTCCCGGGTTCGTTTCGGGAAAATCAAATTTGCCCCCCCCCCCCCCCCAAATTCAGCTGGGTCTACACCTTAAGTTTAAGATTTTTGCGGAGGAAACCCATGTAAAACAATAATAATAATCAATAATAATAATCAATAATAATAATAAATAATAATAATCAATAATAATAATCAATAATAATAATGATGCTTATAAACAAAAAAACAATGCCTCCCCCCATAGGTGAGCCATCTATTTTCCACCAAAACAACAAGGACACCTGTGGCTCCCCCCGCCCCCGGCAGATGTTGCAAGTTGATCAACCACCGATGTCGAATTCACCAAACAAGAACTGGTTGACCTGCAAAAACAAAAGTGGGGTGGGAATTCACAAAAACTGGTTTAGCTGCAAAAGTTGGGGCGTCCCAAACCTTCACTTTCCGTCCCTCTCCAGTTGCTTGAGTCCCTTGGGCAAAAATGGACAACTATTCCATCAGTGCTAGATTCCCCTCAAACCAAGCAAACATAGGACATACCCTGAAACACCCACATTTCCAGCGGGATAAAAATCACCGTTTTGATCGAAGGGGACGCGCTTACGCCTGGAACTTGTCTTTCAGCACCAGCTGCTCCGGGGCAGCGCTTCCCGCTCCGGTCTTCCAGCGAAGCCAATCTGCCTGACTCAGCTTTTTCTTTCAACGGACTCCAAGACAAGTCACTCGTGTTTCTGTGTGTTCTCCTTCTCTCTTTCTCATTCTCTCCTTCTCTCTTTGCCTCTCTCTCTCTCTCAAACATATTCTTCTCGGAGTCTGTCTCTGTGTGTGTGTTTCTACGTCTCTCTGCACGTCTGCGTGCATTTGTGTCCCTGTCTGTAAAGGTTTTCTCCCCAAAAGCACCCACAGGAAATTGCGCTTTAGGGGAACCCTGCCACCGCATTTTGGGATCCATTGCTTCCTTTGAAGGCCACAAGAGGTCCATCTTGAGAATCCATGTGATCCCCAAAATGATGTGATTGTTTTACGAGTTGTCCTTTAAAACGACCCCCACAAATGGTAGCCTCACCACCCCATGTCTCAGTTCCCCAAACGTTACCAGAAATACAAGGTTCACCCTTTGGGACCTTGACTCAACATGGGCCAAAACTCCAAACGGGCAACTGGGATATATATGGGTATGTCCTTTTTGAGGCTACCCCTTTTTGGATGGTTTTTAATAAAGGGAAACCGAAAGGAACACCGAGATCTATTTTGTGGGTGTAGCCGTCTCGACTCTTAGGCTTGTCATTTTTAGTCGGTTTCGTGGTTTGGCTCACGTAACCCACAGGTTGAAATCTTTTAACAGATATCAGAAAAAGGACAGAGGTGCGGTGGCAAGTTGCTTTGATTGGGGGAACGGCTCTGTTTTGAGGGTACCCGTGGTTTGGCTGGTTAGGCACTTGCCCAAAGGACCTGGAAATGAAAGGTGAACCTTTAAGGGAATGCACACATATAGACGTCTAAACATGGGAAACCAAAAGGCCATATCGGGTCGATTCGCTTTCAAGTGAATCGAGATCTCCTAGACAATGACACACCCACATCTTCATGCGGAAGGAAAACCAAGATCCATTTTCCGGGGTTTGCAACACACAAAAAACACGCACATCTTCAGAGAGCACCTTCCACCCCCCCCCTTTCCCCACCCCCCCCCCCTTTCCCCGCCCCCGCCCCCTTTTCCGCCGAACCGTCCGCCGGAACCGTCCCGTGGGCCGCCTGGGCGTCGCACTTGTCGATGCCGCCCAGCACGAAGTCGCTCTCAGGCACCCGGCATCCCCGTCTCGTCAGCTCACCGAAGCGCTGCTCCTAGCGCCGTCGGCGCTTGGGGGGACATGGCGACCTGGAGCCTCTGGGTTTCACTTAGCTGATCGATTTTTCCTGGACCCTCAAGATACCAGCGTTAAAGCGGGCGATTGTAAGATCAAATGATTGTTGGTGAAGTCCATTCCTGTTTTGTGGGTAGTTTGAGGGTATAGGTACAACTCTTGGTGTCAAAAAAAGAGTTTTTTAAACAGCACCCCAGCAAAAATCAACAGAACCAAAAAAACACTTGCCGAGAACAGTGAAGATAAGGTCGGTCTTTTTTGGAGGGATACCAGATCTTTTGCGGGGTGTTGAAGGGAAACCAAAAGGAGAACCGTCGCGCCATCTTGGAGGGGCGCCCTACAAAAAGACCAGCCACCCACATGAGGATTGAAAGAAGCAGGGTATGAAGTTGAATTAGGGACCCTTCGGTGGGCATCAAAAAGAAGAAAATTCCCATCCATGCTGTCGGGAGCACTCGAAGCGGACCAGGAGAAACGTGATTGATGTGTCCAGAAGACATCCATTTGGGGTTGATCAATCCGCTCGGCCCCAAAACGACCATATACCCAACTGTTCCCACGTGGCGAAAGTCATATCTTTGGCGGTTCTAACCAAGGGTCATCCCATGTTCATCGGAGCTTTTGAGATCAACCCCCATGTGATGTGCTGTGTTTCTTGTTTTGGGGTACGTACCTTGTGGGGTTGCTAAGGGAAGCCAAAGGAAAGCAGAGCGTTCAATCCAGTTCGAGCGGCGAGGTGATTCACCTCACCCCTTCAGGACGCAAACCTGCCTCACGAGGGCCGCTAAGGTGTTCCTCTTGGTTCCCTCTAGAACCGACACAAAGAGGGCAAAGCTCCCGCCCCCCACCCCCCCAAAAAAAAAAACAAAGAAAGAAGAAAACAAAAGAGGACAAGACTCATTTGTCCAAACTCAGATGGGGCTGGACAGATCTCTCGCACCAGTGGTTCCCAACGAAGGTCAAAGCCCATGTGATGTGGGCTTGTCTCAAAATAGGGACCCCCCCTAATTAACAAAAACAAAAACATGGAATGGTGGTTGTCCTTTTGCTTCCCCTTGATGAACCACCCCAAACCTCGGGTTCCCTCCAAAAACCCACGAGCAGCCCATGTGGACCGACCGCCGACATCTCTCCTGCGCGGGCAGCTGGTTCGCGCAGCGCAGGAGCTGCAGCAGGCCCAGCAGATGCCTCGCTCGCGAACGCGCAAGCGAATACGTCCGCAACGGCTTCTCGGGAGGTCCGGAAGGAAGGTTGGGGTTGGACAAAACAACTCCCTGGACCCTCAAAATACCAACTTGAAAATGGTTTGTAGCAACCTAAATTGATGAGGGAATTCCCTTTTCTTTATGGGTTGGAGAAAAACTATATGTCCCTACCAGGACCCTCCCAGGGTTGTCAATTGATACCTAAATGTTTGGATTGGTGGTTTGGTGGTCAAGGGGTGGTTTCAACGACTCCAAACCACAAACCAGGGGTTCCCTGACGAAAACCATCACCAATGTGGATGCTTGCAAAACCCAAACGACGCATGAGTTACCCGCAGTTACCACTAAAATGGAACCTGACTGAGGGGTCCTTATTTTCCTTTGAAGGGACCTGAGGGTTCCATGTTCGACAGGAGGGTAGCATGTGTAAGCTTCTGGGTTTGGTTCACAGGGCTCGAAGCGGCTTTTCGGGTCGAAGCCGAAGCCAAGGCTCAGCTTGGGCCGCCTTAGCCAAACAGCAGCCTGAAAGTTTGGTTCGACAGGCAAGGACTGAGAACTGGAAATGACGCAAAAAAGGAAGAAGAGAAAAAAAACAACATCTATGCTTTCCCTTAAGGGAATCCCCCAAACCGGTTCATTCAACCACCACCCTGGGTCATTGCGCACCAGCAAATCGTTCTCTAGAATCGTTCGGCTGCCTGTTGGTCTGAAGAAAGACCGGAAAAGAAGAAGAAGAAACAAACCACACGATCAGTCAACGGCTGGTCTGATGAAAACAGGTCGCGTTCATAGGCGTCCTGTTTTGGACAAATCTCAATGGGTTCCCCGGTAAATGAATGGCATAAAACCAATGTCTAAACCAGTGAAACCCATTTATTTTTAATCAAACTACCCGATCAAAAGGACACCTATGCCAATGAACTGCTTTTGGTTTCCCTTCACCACTACAAAGGGGTATCCCACCCTCCCTCCCCCCCCAAAAAAAACAGACAACTGTGCCTCACGTGCTTAAAAACTGCAAAAATAGAACGAACATAAAATACAATAGAGTCAACATGACACCCTCGTGGGGGGAGGGGGGGGAGGGGGGAGGGGGCGCCCGTTCGTCGCGAGCTGCCAGAAGTCCACGTCCGCCGCCACATCCATGTCCGTGGCATCCTCGCAGCGGTCTAGCCGTCGACTGAGCTCAACTGGACCTAATGGGAACCCCGGATTTCATAAACCCCAGTGTCGTTGTTGTTTATTGTTTGGGGCGGGTGCTTGGATTTTTTTGGGGAGGGGGAGGGGGGTGTCTCTGGTTTAGTGGGGATTCAGCGCTATTGGAGGGGAACATCCCCCCTTCAAAAGAGGACGGGTTTTTTATTCCGGGGTCAACATTACCACTCTTGTTGGTCAAGATTCTTGACACTTCACCTGGCACTGAAACCCTGAAAAAAAATCCAATGACTTGCAAGAGTGAAGTCGCCTGAGCTCAGTTTTGACATGCCCTTCCTGGGCCAAGCCAGAGGTACCGACCATGGACCCATGGTCCATAGTCAATCCTGAAGCTAGCAACACGGAAACGAACAAACCCCAAGCGATGTGCAAAGAATGATGCTGGCTCCATGTTCTGTGAGTTGGGTACCCTCTCTTCTGTTTGTGTTCTTTCATCGGGAAACCACCTCCTTTGTGGTGTTAACGGGAAACAAAAGGACAACCTCAATTTTCGTGGATCCCCTTTAAAAAGACGAGCCATTATATATATATATATATATATGTAAATATATATATATATATATGTGTCTGTGCGTGTGTTCAACCGGCTTCTCATGAAGCTTTGTAACTTGAGACTCAAGTCCCATAGTCCCGCCTAAGGCAGCAATCTCCGAAGAGCCTAAGCAATTGAAATGGTATTTTGCACTACAACCAATATTATGTACGGAGACAAGAATGTGGCTTGTGTCGCACTACCGACGTCGTGATACTGTGGATGGTTGCGAAAACCATTTCGCACCACCTAAGAAACCCTGGAATGACGATTACGAAAATGCCAAACGTTGTGGTTTCAACCATCGTTTCCTTTCGTGGTGCAGGTTACGTCCCTCCACAGTAGGACAGTCTGTGTGTCATCAATTCACCGCCCCTTGCATCGTAACACCGCGCCTGAATGTGCACCACCTTTGCATCAGCCACATCCACCACAGCACGCACCAAGTCCTGGAACAGGCAGAAAAAGGGCTTGCCTGCGTTCCACGTGGGTGTGTCATTTTTACTGGAACCCCTTTTTGGTTGGTTCTAAAGGAAAACCAAAAGGAAAACCACCATGTTGCTTGAACCCTTGCCCTCAGTTGCAAGGGAGAGCCAGCAAATTGAAGACCGCAATTCCATGTTCGAGGGTCCCCGAAAAGGATGGCATACCGCATCATGTTGACCCCGGAATAATAAACCGTTGTTTATTAGAATGGGGATGTTCCACTCCAAAAGTGATGAATCCCCACTAAAACCAGGTTGACACCCCCATAATAACAAACAGGGGTTTATTCATCTGGGGTCAACAACAGGGATCCTTACATTATACACCTGAACATTGCCTTGTAAATGGTGGGTTTCCCTTTGTTTTGGTGTTGAAAAAGCCATGTTTCAAATGGTTGCAAAATGTATCTTTTAAGGAGCGCCGAACAACCCCCAACTCCCAAAAGGGACGAGAAAAAATGGGACCTCGGTGAGCTGCCCCCCAACCTGCAACCTGTTAAGACCCGAGTGCGAAGACTTCACAAGGTCTTTCTGCGCAAGTGAATCGGGAGGCATCCGTGGAAACAGCTCACGAATCATTGCAGCCAAAGAGCTGCAAACGTACTCAAGGCGTCATATCATGTTTCTCTCCAGGCATAGTTGAAGCACCAGCTACTCTCCTTCAGATTAAGATGGAACAAAAAAGGGGGTCCCCAAAAGGAGCTTCCTCTGCAAACAGTTTTTTGTTGGGTTCTATGTCAATCTGTAGGGGAGTAGGTTCCTCTCCCGAGAGAAAAAAAAAAAAAAAAACGTGCCAAGCGCGTGACCGTGCGCAGCTTTTGGAGCGAATTTTGACGGGGTCGTCCTGGAACATCTGCAGAGGCCACTCGAAGGCGAGGATTTCCACGAAGGCCTGGACGACGAGAACCACAAGAACTAGAGCTGAAAAAGTGAGACGAAGAAGCAAAAAGAAGAACCGAAGAAGGACAAAAACTAACACGACCTGAACCACAACCACCACCGCCGCTGCCACCCCCACCACCCCACCACCTCCACCACCCCACCCCACCACCTCCACCACCCCACCCCACCACCTCCACCACAACCACCACCACCACCACCACCACCACCACCACCACCACCACCACCACCACCACCACCACCACCACCACCACCA